TCAGGCATTGTCCACTTTTCCCCCCCCCCCTCTCTCTCTCTCACACACACACACACACACACACACACACACACACACACACACGACAGATTGATTATATACATCTGTCATGTAAAATCATATACATAGGTAGATAGATAACAATATATGTAAATATCTCCCCCCCCCTTTTTTTTTAAACAAGGTATCTCTCTGGCTGAACTTTGCAAGCAAACAAGGCTCCATGAAAGCTCCCAGAATCCACCAATCCCCACCACTGGAGTAATGGCCTTTTATGCATGGGTTCTGGAGATCAAACCCAGGTCCTCATACTTTAACGAAAAGTACTTTGCCAACAGAGCCATCTCCCAAGTCCTTATTTTACATTCTTGCCAGCAGTGGGTGAGGACTCTACTTTTTTTTTTTTTTTACACCCTTTACAGTACTGTTTAGAGTCTATCTTGTCTATTGGCTGTCCTCTATCTGTGGTTTTGGTTCCCATGATTTTAATTACTCGCAGTCACCTGGCATCATGCTGTCTCACAATATCTCTCCTTTTCCTCCCTCCATCTCGGAAGGCAAGCATTGCAAATTCTCTGATCACAGTGGGGGGTGAGCACACAACATTCACATACATTCAGCACAGTAGATTGCTAGAGGAGTCTAACAACTGTTGCTAGATTTTCATTCTAGGTGTGCATATGTGATTGCTAATCTTCATTGTCAACTGGACTTAGTTTATTGCTTTAGAGGGTATTTATAGGGACAGGCATTGGTCCGTCATTGCCTTTCAGCTGCAGATACATGGCCAGAAACCCCGGACTTCTACTCCTGTGCCTCCTGTGTCATGATGGACTTGAACCTTGACTGGTGAGCCAAAATAATTCCTTCCTTCCTTCCTTGATTTGTCGGGAATTTTCTCATAGCAACTAGATGAGAATGTTGCTGTGTATAGGACGACATGGGACATGTAGAAGTCAATAGTACGTGAGGTTTCTTGTGTCTTGGAGTCTAGGGGTGAGACTGTGGAGGGTGATTGATGGCTGAACAGCAGTCGTAGTGGGTGTGTCCTGGCCCCTCAGGGGGAGGTTATTTTGGGAGGCTTTTGCATTCATTCTGTGTTTCCTTTGTCCTTGGTTTCAATCTTTTCTATACTGGTAAGGACAGGTGTGAGGTCCTTTCAGGAGCTAGTGTTGCTGTTGGTCTCTGGATCTCACTCATCTTTCGTGGTTGGGATGCTGGCCATTCCCTAGCAACTCCCATCCCTGATTCCTGACAGACAAGGTACTCTGCGAATCTTTGCCCATGACTGCTTTAAAATCTCATCCATGTCACATCAGTGCTGTCTTCCCCTGGACTGATTCACTTAACATTTCCCTGAAGAGCAGCAAAGTACACCATCTGAAACGCTAGTTCTGCATGAGGGCTGGGTGCAAAGAATGCTCTCATCACTCCTTTCCTCTTAGAAACAGGAGAATAAAACTCCCTGGAGAACGATCCCCAAGAAGAGACATCCTCTACTGACAATCTTGTTCTTTTCCCAAAAGCTCTTTTCTTCTGCCAGCTCCCATCACCAGCCCCTTCCACACTCACCTGCTGTTCCACATCAACACATCTTTGACTGTGGGGATTTCTGTGAGGCCCCATGTCAATGTGCACATACTCATTTCCATGTAGGTCTTTCTTTCCTAGCCATAGAGGATGCAGGTAAAATTTTGCCTTGCCTACCCCATCCTCAAGGTTAATCCTTATCACATTAAAGGATTTCTGATGGGACCTCACTTTTCTTTAGAATGTGGTGACTAGAAAATTTCTAAGCTCTCAGATTTGAAACTGCAACAGAGCCTCAAGGATGGTCTAATTCTGGCAAGAATTAAATTTTCTTTTTCTGCATCTCCTAGGCACTCTAAAACATGTATGCTGGTGAATGCCACAGTCAGTCATTTGATAGGACAGGTACTTATCTATGACAAAGGAAGTCAACGGTAACATTGGATAGTGTGTCTAGCCTCAATAAAGACATGGGGAAAGTAAAAAATACTAGATTTTGAAAGCTTGATACAAACTAAGAATGCAAACGACATAATTTTTATATTAGAACTGAGGTATAGCTCTTTGGTAGAGAGTTTGGCTAGCATGCACAAAGCCCTGGGTTCCATCCTCAGAACCACGAGGCAGATGTGGTCCATGCCTGTGATCTCAGCACTCTGGAAGTACAGCCTGAAAGATAATAAGTTCAAGGTCACTCTTGGATACATAGTTTGTGGCCAGTCAGGAATATGTGAGGGAGACCCTGTCTCAAAGTAATAAGCATAATTTTACATTACTTACAAATTAAACAGTGTTGGCAGTTTGTTTCCTGGTTGTCCAGACTTCTGAAATAATCACACAGAAATCTGTACTAATGTTGGAGGAGAGAGCCTTTTGTTGGTTCCTGGCTGCCTAGCTAGCTTAGCCCTGAAATAATCACACAGAAACTGTATTAATTAAATCACTGCTTGACCCATTAGTTATAGCTTTTTATTGGCTAGCTCTTACAATTTAATTTAACCCATCTCCATTAATCTGTGTATTGCCATGTGGCAGTGGCTTGCTCAGCATGTTTGACTCTGGCAGTGACTCCATGGCATCTCTTTGACTCCGCCCTCTTTCTCCCAGCATAAAAAAGCTAGCATACAACCTAACTTTTCCGGCCTAGTTCTGTTCTGTCCTTGCCATAGGCTCAAAGTAGTTCTTTATTCATTAACCAATAAAAACAACACATAGACAGAAGGGCCTCCCATACCATATTAATTGCAATACTGTTTGACCAATAGCCTAAGCGTATTTCTAACTAGCTCTTATATCTCAAATTAACCCATCTCAATTATTTCATATTTTACCATGAGGCTCACGGTTTACCAGTAAAGTTCCAGGGCAAGTCTGTCTCCTCCGGTGGATACAAGGCATCTCACTGACTCCGCCTTCTTTCTCCCAGCATTCAGTTTAGGTTTTCCACCTAGCTCTGCTCTGCCCTATCACAGGCCAAAGCAGCTTCTTTATTCATTAACCAATACAAGCAAAATATCAAAGGACTTCCAACATCAAAAATGTTTGATGAGATATATTAATTTTACTTAGTTGTGATTTTTTTTTTTTTTTACAGTATGGCAACTATAAAATGTACTGTTCTGGTAACATTCTATTTCATTGTCCACATTTTTGCTTTATGGAGTTTGTAGTTTAATGCAGTAAAACTCACCTGTGAATTTTCATACCTGGTCAGCAGACTCCATATGGCCTGGAAGTTCACAAGAAGCAAACCTCCAGTCTCCCATGCTGCAGACCCACTTCATGAATCCCAACCTTTGCAGTCCCCTGGTGAGCTATCTATGTGGCTTTGAGCAGTCTAGATGACATTATAGGAGCTCTATTGTCTCTCTACATACTGATGTTTTATTAATGTGACTTGGTCAAGAATTCTTAACCTGAAAATCAAGATAGTTCTAGACTCAAGGCACCTATAGAATTTCATGCAGTTTGTCTTAGACATTGGTATATGGACCCATCACTTTTATTTTCCTGGCAATACAGCTGTGATCCTCAGAGTGGCACCACTTGGTAAGTTGTTAATGATGCCTGTGCTGAAGTAGCACCTTGTAGTGCACTAATCCACGGCCTCCTGACATCAGGTCTGTGTACCTCTAAACTGGAGACTACAGACAAAGACACGGGTAGAACTGCTTGCTCTGCCCTCTCTCTTAGTGAGGGGCATAGCGGCTCTGGATTGGGAGAACAATGTGTGGGTGGAATGAAGATGCCAGCTCTGAGGTAGGGAGATGACAAGTATGACTCAGGATGCTGAGCTTGCTGACAACTGTCAGAAGGGCATTAAGTTTCTCTACCAGAGTTTGGCACAGCAGATGGGTTAAAAAAAAAAATGGACTTTGCAATCAAACCAACCTGAGCTTGAGATCGAGCTCTGTGACTCACCAGTTAAGCACATCTAGGTACATTAGTAAATCACTTTGGATTGACTTGTCTATTCTGCCTGGTCTTGAGTGGCCAGACCAAGGATACTGGTTGCTAGACTAATTAAAAAGCTCCCTTCTAATGTATTAGGATACAGGCATTCCAGGCAGTGTCTATTGCAGGTTTTTGTTTCAGCCCTGGGAAGGTGCAAGTTGCTTATCTGTGTCCTAGCACACACCACTGCCTCCACTCTGGCCTGGCTGGCTGCAGTGAGACTGTCACTTAGTCTGCACTCTCATGGGCTCATACCTGTTAAAGTATTTCTTAGTTGAAAATCTTTCTAAGCACAGTTGTTATGTTTAAGGTCTAGAATTAGGCATCTGAAGTTTGAGTTGTGTAGGACAGGTAAGCTTTTTGCTTAGAGACAAAGACAAAATGAAGTGACTAGAATATTCTGTGATGACTATTGGAAGATTCAGAACCCTACAGTAAGCTCAAACCTAAATCATCCCACCTGTGATTCTACTACAGGATGTCAGTGGTAAGACCACACAGAAAACTACATGCAGACAGGTTAACATTGATGTGAAAACCCTAGGCTGGTAATGGCACCCACCTGCCATCCCAAGTGAGAACAGGGTGACCCTGACTGCTCAGCATTCTCAAGAGCTGGCATGAGTACATGACCTCATCCTCTTTCTGAGAAATGACCCAAGATAAATATTGAGGTGAAGAGCTGAACAGAATACGTTTAATTTTCCTTCTTTATATTTATGTGTATGAATGTATTACCTTCATAGTATGTGCCTGGTGCCCACAGAGATCTGAAGAGAACATTGGGTTCCCTTGAACTGGAGTTACAGATGCTTGTGAGCTGCCATGTGGGAATTATACTCTGGTCTTCTTTAAGAGCAGCCGATGGTGCTCTTAAGTGCTGAGCCATTGCTCCAGTTGGCCACACTGGTTTAATCGTCCCTATAAGCAACCCATGGCTCTTGACTGTGTAGGTGTAACTGTTTATGTCTGCCACAGAACACTGAACTAAAGCGGCTTATGGACAAGAATTGTTGTTGTTTTTTTAAATACATTTATTAACCAATGTTAACACAGTAAATGAAATCTATATATTGCTAGTCAGAGCAGCTTACAAAATGCCAGAATGCATCATAGAACTGGACAGCCACGATGGGTACTTACAATGTGCAGAGTGGCTTAACTCAACACCTTGATATAGCTTTATGATTGCAGAAAATTTTAATGATTCCTAAAACAATCAATTGTAATTTTACCTAAAACTTTTACAAAACCAGGCCACAATCTTTTTTTAATTTTGTTTTTTTTTTTAAACACACAGTTTCACGCTGTAGTAACTTGGAAATGTGCAGCCGCGTCGACAGAGACAAGAAGCCAAAGTAACAGGAACCTCACTTTCATGCAGCTATCAGGTAAATAGTACATACTCTGGAATGATTTTACACCAAAAATATTCCCACAATAACTTGCTCTCACAGGGGTGGATCGAAGTTTTAAAACCTGAAAACAAAGACTGTCAAGTGTCCTTGGTTAGGGCAGCGCAGCAGCAATGATGGTTACGCGGCAGCGAGGAGGGAGCGGTGGTGCCAAGTTACTGCAGTTACTGCATAACCTGGAGGAGTTGATGGGATACTGGTGGTTTATACAAAAGAGCGTGCTCCGTTGGGCAGTAGTTTGTCAATTAACTTGTGTTACCACCATCTGCAATAGCATCAGCGCTGGCTGGAGGAGGCTCACAGAAGACTCCTTAGCCTTCATCTTTAGAGTGACCCTGATGGACCGGAGAAAACTTTTTAAAAGGCTTTTCTCCCGACTCTTCCACTTCTGTTGTGAGTAATTGCTTTAATAAATATCAAAGGTCTAAATAAATATTTACAAATTATTTCTCTAACCTCAAAAAATAACTAAAGGATAAAGTAGGAATTTGGCTTGGTCTATGATCGGTCTTGGAGGAAAAAAAAAACAAATTGGGAGATAGTTTTAAAGAAATTTAATTTTCCTGGTTGTCTTTTATATATCTATGTATATATAAAAAATGTTATTCAACTATCGATCCATTCCTACTGGTAATGTTTCTTAACCAGACATCCCGCAAAATACAGACTTTGTACAAATCACGGCATCTTTAATACAAGAAAAGTAACATGCACTAGTCACTGTGTGCAGTGACGGAGCTCGTTAGTAGCAATGACCCTCCCTACAAACAACAGCTTCTGTCACACGTAAGTGCTTTCTCTCTCTGAGTACTAACTCACACTCGAGGAGACACAGGGAGTAAGGTTAGGGTGGCCCTGGGGAGGGAGGGGGTTCAGTGAAGAAACTCCATGCCTCAGCTGTATTCCACGTTCTGAGTACAGGTAGTTTTTGGTTTTTGATTTTTGTTTTTGCTGCTGATTTTGTTACAAGCACTCATGTCAGGACAAAGATGAAATGTGCAAACTTTAAAATTTAAATATTCATTTTTCTCTAAGATCCAGCTCAGTAAAAGATTACCCCAGTTTCCCTGCAATTTTAAACTACAAGATCAAAGCTAATAATTTGTTATAAAAGTTATATATTGAAAAGAAATAATGAAAACACAATTGGGAAATATTTAAGAAAAAATATGCAGGGCTAGCCCTGCTGTGTCAACCCTGTTCCCTATATTCAATCACATGCCGCCAGCACGGCCACAGGCAATGCCTGTGAACAGTGAGCAAGCTGCACAAAACCAGCTCAGCAAGGTCACGTGTGGCCAGGTCAACGGCCAGGTAGTCTGTTTTCTTCTGAAGCGTCTGCCGCTCTTACATTCAGCTCTGTTCTGTCTTTGTTAGACTCACTCGTAGTCACCTGTTGTTGTTTTAAGATCTGTTGTTTAAAGGTTAAAATCTCTGTAAAACCTAAAAATGTTTTAAAATTTGCTGAAAATGCAACAAATCTTCAATTAGAATTTATTTAGAGTAATACCCTCCATTGATGTTACTTCAGCCCCCGAAAAATGCCGGAGGAGCATTAACAAAAGATTTAAACTACTGTGCAAAATTTCACCACGAAAAGTGTTTAAAGGCTGGTGCAAAATGGGAAGCAAATTCTAAACAATTTTGGCTTCTTGGAAACAAAAACCGCTGCGTGTGAGGGTGGCGGACGGGCTCATCTCTTCCGGCGGCAGGTGCGCTTGTGCTCTGCGTGCCAGTGCTCCTGTTGGCACTTGATGGAGCAGTAGGATGTGTTCCAGCAGCAGTGGTACATGGCCTCCTCCTCACAGTTGTAGCACTGCAGGGCAGGAGGCACACATGAGACCAGGGCCAACAGCTCAGGGCCTGCTAAGTTTCTAAAGCTGTGCCTACAAAGCTCTCTGGCTCAGGCTAGCCCACAGGTACATGATGTGCAGTGGCGTATCTTATGTAGAAGGACAGGAACCCACAGTGAGGGTTCTTCCCCACACTGCACCCACCTGTGTCTCTATCGGCTTGCTCAAGTCCACTGACTCCAGCATCAACTGTTTCCTCCCTAATGCGGCTCTTCCCTCACATTCTCTACCTGCTCTGACTCCTACGGGCATTTGGAGTTCTGGTTTCCCACCCGTCATATCACTCCACTGCATTATCTATGAAGGAAGCTCTTTCTTTGCTCTGTCTTTCAGGGAAAAGTCACTCTTGCTACTAAAAGTTTCCACAAAGGCCAGCTGAATCCAAAAGTGCCTAGTGTTAAGGCTAGACCATTAGACATGGGAGAAGAAAGAAGGGGAATGTTCATGCTTGAATCTTAAGTAGGGCTGGTGAGCTAGCAGCTGCACCGCTGTAGATGCCTTCCAGGAGGATGAGCAGGAAAAACTAGGCTGAGCTTAGAATCCACAAGACTATAGCGTGGTACTCTGCACACGAGCTGACAGACACACTCGCCTATGAGTGCAGAGGCAGGTGGAGCTCTGTGAGTTCAAGGCCAGCCTGGTCTACAAGAGCAAGTTCCAGGACAGGCTCCAAAGCTACGGAGAAATCCTGTCTTGAAAAACAAAAACAAAAACCAAAACAAAAAACAAACAAAAAAATTAAAAATTCAACCTTCCAGTTTTCTTCTTGGCTGCGTATTTGTTTTTACTCTCTGTTGAAATTAATATTTCGAGTTTTGTGATTTTGCTACATCAACAATGGCAACTCCTGCTGTATTGCTGTTGGGAAGGTGAAGAGAATCATGTCTTCAATAAATCTAGTGTCTTATGTAAGACAGAATTACCAATGTGGTGTCTGGGCCTTCTGGAGCTTGCTGGAGCACACCTTTGCGCCTGCCTATGTCTACCTGTCTCCTCAGCCAGCAGTTCTTCCCACAGAGCTGTCTATACAGGCTTCTACGGATGTGCCAGTATGCCCTTGTCGTTCTTGTTAAGTCTTTATAACAATTTTTTCATACCACATACTTTATGAAAAATTTACATATATTTACAGAATCTTCATAATAGAAGCTAGGTAAACGGAAAAATTATCATGAAATATTATATAGAATCTTATTTAAATTGAAATCAAATTAGGAACATAAGGGAAAATTGTTTCCACTAGGTAGTTCCCTCAGAGCTATGGGGCTCTATATGCAGGACTCAGTGACACTTCCAGTCAAGCTGAAGGAAGGGCGACTGCCCAGCAATGACATGCTCTTACTGTAAACATAAGGAAGCAATTTCTGTAAGCTACTGTAATGTGAAATGTCTGGGACAGGGACATCGCTTGTTGGGATACACATGCAGTTTTTCAGTTTGAAGACCATTAGACATCTCCAGATTAAAGTCGTCTCCACTGCTCGAAAAGCTGCAGATGACTGTACTTGTGCAAAACGACAACGTCAGCTCTGCCCAGGAGGGTCGAGGACATCCCTTGAATGCTCTGGAGTCATAACCACTCTTCAGGCCACCTGTGTGCACTGCACTTCTCTGTTTGAGCTGACCTCACCACAGCCCACCGCCTTTCCAGCAGCGCTGGGGACAGGGTACTACTCACCCACTGCTTCTTCTTGGTCTGAGAAATGAGCTGCTTGTGCTGTGTCGCTAGCTTCTTGATCTCCTCTACAAATTCTTCCTTACACTTTTCCTTCACCTGCTTACACTTTCTGTCCATCTCACCCTGCACGTTGGCTACAGCTTTATTTACCGCTTGTCTTTTTTCTTCTTCCATTTCAGAACGCAGCTGAAATGAAGACAGCAATAGACAGGTCACACAGGTCAGCAAAGCCTTACTGCTGAGCTCAGGCTCTGTCCCCACTACTGCAGTACACACAAAAGATGTTAGCAAGAAAGCATTACTAATTAGAACAGAATAGGAATACTGGTTCAGCCGCTCCTGCGAGAAGCTGTTCCACTCTCCACTGCCCCCCAGCAGTGCACAGCCCCACCTTTTCCAGCGCCTCTCGGACCACTCTTTCTGTTTCACGCTTGTGGTCCGACTTCATCCTGTCTTTAAAGTCATTAAAAATTTTGGTGTATTTGTCGTGGCACATGCTCTGACAGACGCCATCAGTAGTCGTCTGGGTGCTTCGATGCAGCATTCTTGGAGAAGAGGCACTTAACTTCTTGGTCTGGGTTGACACTGACACCTTCTCAATTGGCTGAGGCATGGTGGGGATTTCCTGGCTGGAACTTACTGCTTCCGTTTCTGGCTCTGGTTCCTAAAGTGTTTAGAAGCAAAACAGGGCATTGTAACTCACCCAAACTCAGCTAAGAGAAAAATTCAGTGTTTGTGTGTGCACACGTGCATGTGTGTGCAGACACACATACACACACATACGAATGCTGTTAACAAGCAAGTAAGGCTGGTATCTTGTTATATTTTGCCACAATTAAATACATCCTCCCCAAACACAACCAGTAAATGAAAAGTTAAACAATTAATAGTGTAAGAAGATTCTAAAAAAAAAATTTCATTTATAATTTCACTATATATTAGCACAATGGATCTTACTTTTAAAATAAAGTTTTTGGTTTACAAAATATAAAATCATTATCAACTATCAATAGATTTGCTAGAGTCCTAAATCACACCTCACTGAATGTGTCTGGCATGTACCCAGATTTACAATTTTAAAACATGCTCAGATCATACAAAAAGAAAGCTTGACCATTGTCTCCTCATTTTCAAGTGCTGGCATGACTGGTTCATCAAATAACTGCTCTGTTGTACATACTGCCATGAAAAACACCAGGTTCTCAGGAAACACAGCAGCACCCTGCTCGCTCCCCGGCCTCTGCTCCACGGCTGCTTACTGGGGACGGAGACTGTGCGCTCGTGTGCTGGTCGAGCAGCGGTCCACAGCGACACGAGTCGGGAGACTGGGCCTTAACTTGACGGACATTACTTGACTGTCTTGACCGTACTTTCAGACTCTTTCCTCTCTCCATTGCCACCTGGACACTGTGAGGTGGGCAACTTACTTCCTTTTTGGGCTCCACACTCTGATTACGTCGTCCTTTCTTTGCTCTTGGTTCTTGAGTGACCTTCAGCTGTGGGCATTATAAAAGTAGTATCTTATTATTTGGCACACTAGGAAATACCTCTGTGCTGAGAATACTTGTAGTGGACCCGCAGGTAGAAGGAAGTCCTTCCATCCACTCAGCAGCCACTTGCTTCGTTATTGCTGTGGATCAGTGATGGAAGAGCCTGTGGACCTGCAGAGCCGAGCAGCGCACTTACTCCTCCCACCGGCTGGGTCAGGCTCCAAGTCGCTTCTACCCACTCACATCTTTGCACTGGGGTGCTTACTTGTGCAGAGCACTTTACAGATGTTTGTATGAAAGGGAAAGAAGATGTCAAAACCTGTTTATGACAGTGAGGAATGTATACGGAGGTTTCTGCATTGAAAATGCAGATTCATCAGGACCTTCTTACCGAGACATCACTCACCTGTTCGTTACTGGTGGACGAGATACTGGACTCTGCCTCTTCCTCACCTCGGTCCTCATTCTTGGACTTCCAGAACCTGCCTTCACGCAGGAACCGCTGGTGTAGTTCCAGCTCATCACAGGCCTTTTTCCAGCCCATACTGCGCTTCACATGCAGTCGGTGAACATTGACTGTAATATCCTGAATGTTTTCAGAAGGAATCCAGGCCCTATGGAAAGTATTGGGAGATGGAGTTAGAAACAGCGACAGTGGTGGAAAGGGTTCAGAGCATGGTGTGGGCTCTGCCTACAGTAACGAGTATCTGCAACAACTTGACAAAGGCTAACACTCAGGCTTAACAAACTCTTAGCCAACAGACAGGAGGTGAGCAGCCAGTTCCCAGGACACAGTGACTTGCTCACTGCCTTTAGTCACCTCAGTTCACCATTGTTTATAGAGACATTCATCAGTCTTTTTAAAAATATATCTATTGTTTTGGATGATGTAAGCTAGCAGGACTCATCCAGTTGCATGCTGATCAGCATTATGGAACCATTTCAAAATGCACATAATTTTTCTTTATATATGCGTATGTGTGTGTATTATATACAATGAGGATATTAACTAAGTATTAACTAAATTACATTTGTGCTATGCCCCTGTGCTTTAGACAAACCAAATTAACACGTGAAGCTGGGTCTTAATTCTTTAGCACAATGCAAGCCCTCAGAAGTGTCTCTGAGTTACAACATGTGCCAGAGATTTGAAAGTAATGAACAGGAGTGTGTGTGTGTGTGTGTGTGTGTGTGTGTGTGTGTGTGTGTGTGTGCGCGCGCACGCGCACGCCAGTACATGAGTGCATATACATAGACTGACTGGTACCTGAAAACATGTGATGTCTGTTCCTGATACATAGCGTCTCTGCATTTATGACTAGGCTAAAGATAAGAGGTGACAAGGGCAAAAGTGATGTAGAACATGGAAGTCATGTGCTCCTGTTGCACAGGGACAGTCAGCAAAAGTGTAAAAGTGTGCTGCTTCAGTGAAGATCCTGTGGCAAGGTGTGCACAAAGAGTGGGCTGATCACTTACCAGAAGAGATGCCCCTTCCCTTACATTCTTAACAGAATTTAAAACATTTCCATGCATAGGTGTCAGTTTAAATTAACACTGAGTACTCTGAGTTATTAAAAAAATAAGAAGTAAAGACATTCTACAATTAAGGCTAGTTTAATAAAGTGAAGATGGATGAACTGATTCTGTGACTTACTACTTATCCAATGTCTTGTTTGCTGGCTCCAGCACTGGCATCAAAAGTGTCCTGCTGCCTTAAAGAAGCTGAGTGGTCCAAAACAACTGACCATCTTGCAGATCCTAGACAGACCTACTGCTGCAGATCTACATGCAGGCAACAGCTGGCATCTCCTGCATGTCAGGTCAGTCTCAGTCTAAGTGAAGTGACTCCAAAATTATTTGCTTAATTTTTCTGCCTCCTATGTGTAATACAATATACTATCAAAAACACATTTCTCAAAACTAACAACTAGAGCCATAGTTTTTAGTGCTTAATTCATGATTACAATATCTATTTATTTTCAATACATAAAGTACTTTAATAAAATAGAATTTTTACTGTGTCCCCTAAGCAATCATTCATATCATATTCTATCCAGATCAATAATTCCGCAATACTTGATGGAATAGCAAAGAGACCTATCTATCTGGAAGTTCAAACACATTCTCCTCCCCCATTCTCCCTATATTAGGTTTATAGTCATCACTTTGAATACTCCCAATATCAGCTAGGTGCTATGCTTATGTCTGTATCAAGCATGCACGAGGAGCGAGGTCACAACTTCCCCAAAGCTCAGAGAGCTTGGCTAGTGTATCTGGATGACAGAGTTGGTGCAGAGACTTGGACAAACACTAACAGACACTGACTTACCCTACTGGCATGTGGACAGTGCCCTCTTGTGAGAACATAAAACTAACTAGATATGATGCAAGAAGCTTGTCATGCTAAAACTTACCAATTTATTCATCAAAAGCTAAAATGTTCACTTTGTATTAACACTGTACATTAGTGTTTTCTTAACATAACAACAGTGTCTGCTAGGTGTGTCTATATGAATGAGAAAACAGACATTTAAAGTACTCACAGGATATAGGACAAACTATAAATCAGGAGAGAAAAATACAGTCCTTTGCTTTGAAGCTTCTCATACAATACTGCCCTATGCCCCAGACACTATGATCTAAAGAGATGCTCAGAGCACATGCACGGCTGACTTTTAGCATGACTCCCATTCCTTTAATATCTGTGTTAGAAAAACTTTTCTGGCTTTATCACTGGACTTATTAACCTGAGTCCAACGGTACCTCTCAAAAGTTGAATTCACTTTTCCAATCCAAACTAATGGTGACAACACTTTATGACAATACTGTTATATCCTAATTTTTAATGTTCAATGTCATTGGGGCCTTAACTCACATTGAGAACGGTATAATAAGTGTGCCATCCTATGGGTTGGTATCTTTCTATGGAATATATGAAGTAATTTTATAGTCAGCTTCTTTTTTTTAGAATATATAGAATTTATGTATTCTACATATGTAAGTTTTGAAGCTCAGGAGTAGAGACAATGCTTTGTAATTAGTCCCTCTCCTCTACACTTACTGTGCTTGGGATTAGAGCATCAGTAATTATTTTTGCCTATTAATAGGGCCACAGAGGAGACACAAATGCCACACATCTTTACAGTGTGGGATGGACGTGCCTGTCTGTGGATCCACGACCTGCATGATGGGCTCAATCTCAGCACAAGTGTGTTTACACCTGAGGACCAAGTATTCCACTGTTTTCAGTAATATTGGAAAACTTGCATAAATTATTACCAGCTACAGGCACATGCTGAATTTGAAACAAACACAGTAGCCACTGTCTCTAACACAGTCAGTACGCATGCATAAGCGCAGCTCTTGCTATTGCATGAGTGTGAGAATTACCTCTGGTGGTGGTGGCCAAAGAAGCGGACATCAACTTGATTGTCTTCTTTCTGCATGACTTTGGCTGGCCAAAACCCAAAACCTTTCATTTTAGCCCAAACCAGCTCATGATTAGGTATCTGAAAATGAAATGTTATTTCTTTTATTATTGAGTGACTTTTTAAATAGAGAAGCGTGGATTAAGTAAGACACAATCCGTTTGGATAATATTTCCTTTTAACTCTGAAACACATACAAGTGTTTTGTTTTCCTTTTGCCATCAATATAAACAATTCATAAGCTTAAGAGAAAGTAGAATTATGGACTATTTGCCAGATGAGACAGGAACTGAAATAAAGTTGCCTCTAAAGTCAAGGGCCCTGTGCATGATAGTAGTAAACAGAGTGCCCTGACTTTGCTTCTGCACCCAGCATCACCTGGGTATTTGTTAGGAAGAGAAGAGTTTGAGACCCCACACATACTTTCTGATTATGAGGCCTCCTAAGTCCACCCAATGTCAGTGTCATGGGATACTCTCAAATAGCCAGAGGCTTTTTTTCCATTTCAGAGGAGATGATGGAGCTACAGACATAGCAAAGCCATGGGTCTCTTGTTGAAAATGAGAGGAAAAGCAAAGACTCACTCTCCTGTCTATCAAAGGACCCCGTGTATGGTCTTACTGAGAGCCCTATTTGAAATTCAGAACTAAAAAGCAATTATTGTTATTTTCTCATGTTTCATTTGCAAGTATTTATTAAGGCCACAGGCACTATGATGTAAAGAAATGTATTTCACAGGTATTATCCCTAAGTAAACAGGAAGTAACTGTGATCCAAACGGTACTCATCAATGAAAATGACAAAATTCCACATACGCAAGGATAGCAGAACCAGTTGTCGGGCCGTGCATTTGATAGATAGAAGCAGTTCTTGCAAAGCTGCAGCTCATCCAGCTGAAAAGCAAAGCAATGGTCTGAGCCACACAGCAGCCAATGTGGCTGCGTGGGACTGACAGGCAGCTCTCAGTCAGGTCCTGACTTAACCTAGTACACTTAAAACCCTCTAGGATGACAGAAGGTCCTGCCATGACTGTGGAAGACATGCAAGGGTGACAGTACCCCTTCTCTTGCTGTGCCCACTGCCATCCCTCACTTGCATACTGTTTTCTTCATCACTGTTAAGGCCACTCGCGTTTTATCCTGTTGTCAACCTCTCTTCAGAAGACAGCTTTCTATACACTGGAGTCTACACCTATATCACCACTTCATTCCTTCTAACACACTGTCTGGCACACTGTAGACATTCAATAAAAAATTGTTTAATAACTAAAAAGGAAAAATCAAATTTAAAATGAACTGAAGAAATCACACTTCTTATGAGAATTTTTACAAAACTAATGTTTGCAGGCGATTCATTTACTTTATGCATATGAACTTTGTTCTCTGCCTTAATTGGGTCTAATAGAAGGCACATATGAACCCTCATTCCAAGTTGTGACTCTGGTTGCAGAGTGCAATTTGTTCACATCTCACAGCTCACCAACACTCACATCAGCAATGAGCAGTGCTTGAAAGTTACTAGCTAAATCTGCTACGGTATCCTTAGTCAGCTGTTACAGAAATATTTGTTTGCTTATTTTTCATGTATGGCAAACATGAAAATCAAATTAAATTCAAAGGAGATGCCACAATTAAAATGTAGCAAGGAAGGACAGAAGCCTTAACTAAACTTAGACTATAAGAAGTTTAATTATTAAGTGTGAATGGTAAGTACCTCATGACACGTGTCTTTATACAACATCCTCGCAATGTCCGCTTGCTCACTGTCTGCTGTAATTGAAGATAAACACAACTTATCATCAACACTCTAGAAACTGCCACCATCAAGTCAAGTGATCCTACTGTCATTTCAGTTTACCAGATAGAGACACATTCATCAAAACACACATTTTATGTCATGTTCAAGAGACAAAATAAATCCTACAGGCAACTTTCATTTTTACATTTAACACAACCACTAATTCTCTAGGTAGAGAATGACCTCTTGACTTTAAGAATGAGATCTTAGTGGGAAAGTATCAGAATGAATGAAATGCCTGGAGAAACCTCTTAGCTAAGATAAAGCAAGTGAATGTAAAGAATACATTTCACTGAAGATGTAGCTCAGAGGTAGAGTGCCTAATTCGCATGCACAAGGCCCTGGGCTAGCCCCTCATCCTCAGCACCACTTAAAAAAAAAAGTGAAAGAATGTTTTCCCCACACCACTGGTCATCACCTCTGTAAGCCACACCAGCAAGCAACCATCAGTTTAAATTCCAACATCATTACTCATGCATGAATTACAAGGAACCGTGACAGATTCTCAACATGGAATTTAACATTTTCAAGAGTGTACACAAAAGAGAAAAAGGATTGAACCTCCATAGAAAATCACTGTGTTGTGGAGAAGCAGCTGTGCATCAGCTTTGAATTCCTCATAACTCCGGTATTTCCCCTCGTTCACTTTCTGTGAGGGTAAAAGACAGAAGGACAAATGTGTTGTGAGTGACAGGACTTGAGAAGAGGACAGAACAGAATCTGGACTCCTGCTTTTGCCCCCAACATAAGTGACAGTGCCACATAAGTACTGTGCCCACTGTGTTAACTCCCCACAATGGCCTTCACAGCTGCCACACCTCATCTGCAGCAGTGGTGGCAGCTGCTGCTGAGCTTTGTCAGAAAATGCTCAGATGAGAGCAGGACCACACATGCCTGCCATCTTTCTAACAGCTGGATGAAGACCAGAAAAAGGAGCTGTTAGCCTCCACAATAGTCACCAGACCTCTAAGACAGTGGCTCTCAACCTTTCTAATGCTATGACCTTTTTATACATGTCATATGCTGTGTTGACCCCCCAACCATAAAATTATTTCATGGCTACTTCTTAACTGTAATTTTGCTACTGTTATGAATCGTAATGTAAATATCTGATCCACAACCCACAGGTTGAGGACACTGCTCTAAGTAAGGCACAGACACTAGTTTACAGTGAAGCTTTGGGAGTTCCTCTATAGACCAAGGCAACACACAGCTTTCTTTACATTGATGAGACACAAAAAAAGGCTCCTTCAAAGTACACTCTGTAGCTCTGATGTTGGTGGCCAAAGAGGGTAACAATAATTTTCAGAGCGTTTTTCTCCCTTGCAGGAAGGAGCTCAAACTTTTTCAAGTAGTGTGTATATAGCCAAGCTATCTGGGAATAGCAGGAGAGCACTTTTGAGTCCCAGTGATTTTGGCAGAAAGATGATTAGCAAGGCCAAGGCCGCAAATGAATGCTCACAGCCCATGCCCCTCCCATGTACTTTATCCCTGCTCATGCAGCTTCTTTCCTGTATAGTTCTAGTTCAACTACCGTTCCGTCAGTGAAAATTCCCACTTCTCCTAGGTCATTGCCTACATACCCTACAGGAAATTATGTTCAAGCTTTGATGCCTGACTTCCTCCCCTGCATTCCTGCCTCTGTAGGGCTGGGGTACACCAGGCACTGAACCTGTACAAGGCCTTGCCCAGACTTAAGTATCTCCTTACCGTAGCCCCCAAAACGCTTCCTGTTAAGTTCTGTTCTGAACCATGACTCATATTTTGGATTTTAAACTGGTAATATCATAAAAATCTTGTCTTTCTGTTAACTCTCCTTTCAGGACTTCTGCTCATATTATTCAAGGTCAAAGCATTAACCCAGCTAGCATCAGCCCATTTTACAGGGAGCTGACAGGATCCAGAAGCCTCAGGGAAGAACGATGGCAGTGGTCTAGAGGGTTTTGGTTGGAAGGGACTAGAGGAGCCCAAGCACTGGGTGTGGGGGGGGGTGTATCTTTAGATCCTCATGCCTTATAATGCAGCACAAAGACAAGACCAAAACCTGAGATATATGGGCAACACAAATTGGACTTGATGGGTTAAAAAAAAAAAGAAGAAGAATATAAAGTTGGGTAGGTAGATGGAAAGAGGGCTTGAATCTGTGAGGAGTTTGGGTAGAAGGTGGTCAAAACTCACTGTTTGCAATTCTCAAAAATTTCTAAAATATACTGAAATATATATAATAGAATTAATTGTTTTAGATTTAACCCTAATTTTGTTCCTTTTATGGTTTCCCAAGACACTTAATCTAGTCTACACCCTAAGTTTTACCTAAAACTCCCAAGCACACTGCTAAAGTAGAAACTCATATTAGAAATCAGTACTTTACATACAAAATGTCAAGCTGCCCCACTTCCTGTAATCAACAAATATCAAGAATCTAGCTGTAAGTGGTTAAAAGTCAGATCTTTTAAAATTTGCAGTAGACTGTGTGACAGTTAAAGGCACGAATGCACAACATACCATGACAACACAGCCACCACCACTGTGCAGGCTACTTCCCCTCTAACTTGGTAGTTAAAGATACATGGAAGTGGAAATAAAAGGAGCCAAGTTACCTCTTGTATGGTAGGGACATCAACAGCTGAATGGACCAGCCTCCGGTACATCGGATGCTTACTGTCCTTTCCCTTTTTATTAAGGTCTATAGCCTAAAGGGTTGTTAAATACACAAAGGGACATGTAAAACATCAATTCCTGAAGCTCAACATATTTTATAATCTTACAAAACATCCATCATAATTAATGGAGAATGTGTAGCTAGTTAATGCAATATGCGTTCTTCAAGGTTCGACAGAGCAGCTATTTGAGAAATGCCACTTCATTTTAAATAGCAACAGCCAATGCAATGTTCATTTGATTAATCAGCTTTTAAATTGTGTCTTAACTGAATGTAGTCAATTAAATGTTTGTATCAAACAAAACAAAAGACAAAGTACAGTCCAATACAAAAAACATTTGTTCTAGAAAATGAATAAAACAGCAACCAAATTTGATAATACAAGACTATAATCCCCGCACTCAGGAGGCTGAGGCAAGAGGTTCACAAGTTGAAGTCCAGTCTGGACAGCAGATTGAGACCTTAAGACCAAACTAGACCATGGCCAAATATGCCCGCAGAGCCTGAGAACCACAGTGGGAGAGAAAGCAAGCCTGGCAAGCACTCACCCTCTCCTTCATGCGGGAGACAATGAACCTCAAGTAGGTGCCCATCTCCTGCTTGTTTGAATGCTTCTTCTTAATGCTCTGGGGAAGAAAGAAGAGACCAAACAAGTCTATCATTCATGTGTCCATATTTAAAAGGCAGAAAAGTAAAATAGACTAGAGCAAATACTTTGTTAGATAAAGTCTGTGGTATTTGCAAAACATAAGTAATATTTCTCTCAATAAGGAGGAAATTGGAAAATATGTTGTACTTGACATATTGCCTAAAAAATGAAAATTTTATCTTTTTTGATATTTTAAAACTTCAAAGCATTTTATGAAAGGGGATATAATATATGTAACAGAGACTCTCTAAGTTTACTAAAGACTAGTGGTTAAATTCTTTTAAGAAACACTCTAAATTGATAGTACTAAACAGACAATTTCAATATATCATGTTTTGTTAAAACTTTAAACTTTTAGGGTACATGGAGGTTGCATTGAGGGTACACTAACCTATCTGCTTTTCATGCAATATGCCAGATTAGTGGAAAAGGAAATTATTACTGATTAGATTATTTGATTCATCTCTCAAGAAGACTGGATTTCACATTTCATGTCATTTCTAGACATTCAAGAAACTAGGACAAATGTCCCTTTGTCAGAACAAAGGCACATGCCAGGCCAAAGATGGCACTGTTGCATCACACTGCAGAGAGATGAATGGGGCTAGCCCTAGTTTTAATGGATGTCACAACTTTTCAGTCACATGATTTTCACAGTTAATATCATTTCTATTAGAAAGTTTTACACACAGGAAATTAGTCACACAGAGAAAGTCATTTTAATAGGCTAAGCATGGAGAGAAAAACATTTTCAGATTCATTAAATATGCATATTAAAATATCTAGTAAAAAGTTGACAATTTACTATCTAGAAACAATCTCAGATAATTCTTTCATTTCTTGAAATAGGGTCTCATTATATAGACAAGGTTGGCCTGGAACTTGCTATATACTAGCCTGGCAGTGAACTCATCTGGCTGAGTGCTGGTATTACAGGCATGTGTCATCCTTTGCTCGACATTTACCACATAAGACCTAGCTTTCCTTCCATTTGCATTTCTCACCTGGACTTTTTGGCAAAGTGAAGGCACACTCCATGTTTCCCCTCTCAGCCCTATGGCCTGTGCCATCATCTAACACAAACAGATGATAAGTGGTTAGATACAGGGGTGAGGAGGGTAAGACAAGTGCTTTTCTCCCAGCATGCAGGAAAACAAGTCTACTTCGTTAAAAAGAAGGGAGCACGGAAACACATGCTCCTATCCAGATGCCCTGTCAGGTCTGCTCTACTCACTGTGGACACATCATTAGCACTGCTGAACTCAATGAGAAATGTCCATACAGTCATCTACAATACAACAGATAGCAGACAGAAGTCTTGAAATGCTATTAGCCAGGTTACAGTCTATAGGTCGGTAACTCATTTCAAGGAAATATACAATCAACCCTTCATGTAGAACTAAAACACACTCACTAAACACTGAACCTAACCCTGCACCAATCAAATGCCTGTCCTCTCTAAACCTTCCTTTGAGTTCCTCAAGTCCAGTTGAGTTGTCTGCAGTCCCCTGGCTGGCGATAGTGGCCTTGGCTCTTTCAACTATGCTCTAAACATAAACTAATGGTATGTTTCACTTTGTTGGCTTGAACCTAAGCTCTTTTGATGCCAGTGCTGCACGAAAAAAAAGAATACAATGTCTGTCTATGTGCAAAAGTCAGATGCACATAGTCAGATGCATATTGATGAAATATCAATACAGCTAAAATATCTCCACTAGATTCTTCTGTCTTTAAAACACTTTGTAATAACATGGAAATCACACTGAGGTTCAAGGAACTCATTCTTCCACTCGCTCCCATCATCACCTAGCTTAAACAGAATCTGAGTTCAGTTCTTTCTGTCTTTATCTGTATGATCAAGGCTACTGATCTGTGTAGCCATACACAACATTATCTGGGGAAAAGAGTGAGTCTGGAGTTTTATTGGAATACATAGTAGTACAGAGGGTGACAACTAGTTCTTACACTGTTTAAATTTGTTTGCAGTCAGATGTCTGGAGTATTTAAGTGCAATTAAAAGTGCAGATCTAATAAGTCTAGAAAAGTGACTATTCCAGAGGGTGTGACAGCAAACAGCTAAGTGGCTTACTTTCAAATACAACCTTCATACATTACTCCAAGAAACTCTTATCCTTGCCTGAGAAGATCTCCTCAGGTTTAGACATTCCACTGTAGTCTATCACACGAAAACCAGCTAGAAGCTTTAGAAATAACACCATTGTCCATTTATATGAAGTTCTAGAACAAGTAAACTCTCCTATGACAGAGGATGGGAAGGGACAAGAGCCAGCTATGCTGAAACATGCTCCATTATGGTCCTCAGATGCCACACAGGGACCTGTGTGTGCCCTTCGAACAAAAATCTTTCCTTAAATGAAAACTGCCAGTGTCTACAAGCCACTCCTGGGTTCTTCAAGCAGTCCTTGAGCTGCTTGAAGGACAAGACTTAGGTGTTCACAGTCCATATGCTGTCCTCAGTGTGACCCACTCCCCAAGGTCATTTAAAGAAAAGAATCTCCAGGCACAGACTGGGGCAGCAGTTGAAATTTCACCTTTTGCTGCCCTACTAAATGTAAAGTGGTGAATTTTCAACAGCTCCTTTTGAAGGCCACTTCACAGTTCCCCTGAGTCTGTTTTCTCAATCCTTACCCAGTTTTGGTCTGCTGCTCATAAGAAAGTGTTGTCCTCTCATGGTGTACATCACAATTTGGTTGGTTATATTTTAAGCATGTGTGCGTTCACTTTAGCTACTAAAGCTGCAGCTTTAGTGTCCTCGGTCCTATGGGGCTGACCCAAAGGAATTTCACAGACAAACCACATCAGTTTGAAGAGTTCATGGTTTTTACATGAAACCCAGCCCTCTTTTCTGATGACAAACAAGGATTCTGTTCTAGATACTGAAGCTGCTCTCAAGCCTTTTGTTGCACACATTCAGTCCTGCTGCTTATTGCCTGCTGGTTGTTGAGCTCAGAGCTGTGTCTGGACCCAGAGCGTGATGGAATCTCCCTCCACAAAAGAAGGGCTTCTCCATGGAAACAGAACCTCTCCCAGGTATGTATGAGAATAAAATGTGGACTGCAGATGTTTATACACCGGAGGGGCTTGTAGGCTTTCTTTCATTATCAGGTATATTTCAAGTTTACTATTTCATAAAAGAAACCCACAGAGGCTGTGTGTGATGGCACATGCCTTTTAACCCCAGCACTTGGGAGGCAGGCACAGATCTTTGTGAGTTCAAGGCAAGCCTAATCTACAAAGAGAGTTCTATAAGGGCAGCCAAAATTATACAGGAAGACTTGTGTCTCAAAAACCAAAAGGGAAAAAAAATCCACAGAGCAAGACTTCTGGGGACCCCTGTAGGAAACAGACAGCACTGCCTATTGAGGCGTGGACACAGAGTGTTGCAGTGTGTGACCATCAGGCCACCCACGAACTTGAGCAGTCTGAGGAAAAGCTACTCCAACCCATGGAGGACTCACTTTTAACGTAAACATGACTGTCAGAATCACTAAACACACAGCCCTTGACCAAGTCCAAGTGCTGCTGAATGGCAGCACACAACAGACAACACACAGCCAAGTCAAAGTGCCACCTATCACACCCACACACACACCTCTTCCTCGCCCCCTCTCTCTACTCCTTCACTGGTTTGAAGATTATACTTGTTCTCCTCGGGCAGGCCTTAGCCCTCTTCAAAGTGATTAAGGCTCCATTGACATGCCTCTCCCATGTCTTAAGAGGTCAATCCTGCCTAATTATCAAACACAGCACTCACACACACAGAGGTCGAACAGTAACTTAAGGAAGTTGGTTCTCTCCCTGCGCCGTGTTCAGTCCTGGGAATAGAATGCAGGGCCTAAGCTTGACAACTGAGCCCTGCTGCCAGCCCTCTTTTTCTGCTCTAGCCAAGGCATACACTACACCTTAAGACCGAAGGCATCCAGACAGTGAGACCTCTGCCTGCATAGTTCCACCCCATAGCACGTACTTTATACTGTGGTCAAGAGGAAATTATGTACTTTCTGTACCTCAATACTACAAATACTAAATAAGCTTTGCTTCAGATCGTACCATCTGTATAGGAATCAGGCTAAGAGTTACCATTTTAGATCCTGAGAGTTATAATAAGCTTCATGGGGCTCAGTGGTTTTACTTATTAAGAGTTTTTATCTTTGTAGAAATCAAACCTGAGTTTGATTCCAAGGACTCACATGATGGCTCACAACTATCTGTAAATCCAGTTTCAGGGTATCTGACCTCTGTGGGTTCCAGGCATGCATGTGGTACAGACATACATTCAGGCAAAACATCCACATGTACTAAATAAAAACAATCTGAAAAAAACTATAATAAAATTTAGTTAAGTGCTAACCAGACTTTGAAAGAGAAGTCACAAGAATCTAATACCCTGCTGCCCAAGACATGACACAGTCTCACCACTCATTGAAGCCTGTGTACTGTAACTCTGTTACATTTACCATGGAAATGCAATATATAAATCACGCAACGTCTTTTCTTACCAGGGTGGGCTTAGGTAGCTTCTATAGTGATTAGATAACTATATGCAGGATTTTACAGTTTCTGTGCTGGACTTAATCTGAACAGCTTCTTCCTTTTTCAGAGCTCCTATTGCTTTTTTGTGCAGCTAAGCCTATACCAAGCAACAAGGTCACCTGATGACAGTATATGGTTCAGGCAGCACCATGTTAAAAGTAATTTTCTACTTGTTTTAATTAAATTTATAGGATGCAGGTGTCTTTAAAAACAAAAATATGATCAATGTTCATTATTTTCAGTAGTATGATTATTTACCATTAAAAAATTTGATTTTTAAAAGTCAAATCTCCATTCTACATTTATTAATATGGAGCTTGAAAGCAAAGGTATTTATTTACTTTGGGATGAAGATATTAATAAACTGCCCATATTCATAAAAGTGGACTGACCAAAAAACAAGAGTGGCTATTTCAAAGCAGA